GTTTAAAATTATTTAAATTTTTATTTTTATTTAATTTAAATAAATATTTATTAAATAATAACAAAAATAAAAAGTGCAATTTTTTTTGTCCTATATTGTATATCTTGTTATATACAATATCAAATAAAAAAATAATATTTACTTATGAGAAAAATCTTAAAAACAATTATTAAAAATAATAATAATAAAATTTTTTTATTAAAACTTTTGTTTGTTTTTTTTTAAAGCAAAACACATTATATGTAATTTTTTATTAACTTTATTATTAAAGTTACAATTGTTACATAAAAGATCCAACTAACTAATTCTAGCTATCCTAATCTTGATATTGTTTTTTTCTAATTCAAATGTTCTAACTTATATCAAGAAGGTTAAAACTTTTGTTTTTTATTAAAATTATTATATTTTTATATATAAAAATTAAAAAAGAAATTAATTAATTAAAAATTTAAAATATATATAATATATAAAAATAAAAAAAAATATTAAAAAAAAAGTAAAAAAAAAATAAATAACTTAAAATTTTTTAAATAAAAAAGTTTAAGTATAAAAAAAAAAATAATAAAGAATTTTATATATATATATATAAATTATTTTTATTTTTAAATTAAACAAATATTATATACTGTATAATGTATTGTGTTAATTTAATTATAAAAATAAAAAAAATTATATAGTGGCTTTCAAAAGTAATGCATTACTTGATTAAAAAATTTTAAAACTGGATTTTTTTTTATTTAACTATTGTATAACAATGCAAGAATTTTATTTATTTAGAAAAAAATAAATATAAGCTATAACATAAATTTGATTTATTCTTTAACTAAATTTACTATATTAATTGTTTTTTTGTTTTTTTTTTACTAATGTATTTCTTTTAATCTATATTAAACTATATTTCTGTGTATAGATTTATAAAGAAGAGTATAAAGTAAAATAATCTAAAATTTTATATTAAACATCTTTACCATTTAGTGTATCCTCCACATGCTTTAATAATATCATAAACTTTTTGTGGCATCGTATTAATTAGCTTGTTACAAAAATTAATTTCAATACTATTCTATATAATTTTTAAATTTTTCTATAAGTCGTTTCTATTAGATAGAAGATTAGGAAGGTGTTGCAAATGTCTGTTAACTTCATTCCATAGGTGTTTAATTGGATTCAGGTCAGGATATTGTGCTAGCCAATCCAATACATTAATTGAATTTTCATTAAACCAGTCTTTAGTTAATTTAGTGATATGTTTGGGATCATTATCTTGTTGAAAAATAACTTGATCCTTATTAAAATTTAATCTTAGAAGAGTAATTAAAAAGCATCCATCCAAAATCCAACAGTAAAGTTTTCCGTCCATTTTTTTTTCGATTAAACAAAGATTTCCTACACCTCGAGTTGTCATAGCATTCCAAACCATTATTTTTCCACCTCCAAATTTAACAGTTGGAATAATATATTCAGCTAATAAAGATTCTTCTGGTTTTCTCCAACAATACTGTCTTCCATCAGAGCCAAATAACAAAAACTTACTTTCATCTGACCAAATTATATGTTTCCAATTATTCGCGATCCAATTCTTATATTTTTTTGCCCAGACCAATTATTTTTTTCAGTAAGTTTTTCGAAGTAATCGCTTTTTTCTTTTTACTTGAGCAAAAAAATCATTGTTTCTAAGTACATGCCATATACTACTTGCAGAAATATTTAGGTTATTATGCTTCAAAAGTTTATTTCATACTTGAATAGCATTTAAATATTTATGAGATTATATTAAGCAAATAATTTTTCATTTATATTGATTAATAACTAAATATGGGTGACCAGATCTTGGTTTATTTTGTAAATTTTCAGTTTTTTTTTTTTTCTTATAACTAATGATTGATTAACACTTTTTGAATAGTAACTTATTTAGTTGAATATCCTTGGAAAAAAAAAAAATCGATTTGAATACGTTTTTCTAAGCTTATATATGACATGATTGAAAAAAAAATTATAATATCGATAAGTCAAGAAAAGAACTCAAATATATAACAAAATGAATCATAATTGTGTTATTTTTATGTATATTATTATGATAAAAGTTTATTTTTCAAAAATATTAAAAAAAAATGCATTACTAGATTACGAAAAAAATCATAATAATTAGACAATTAAGAATCCGATTAATAACAAAATAATAATAATAATAATTGTCTTGCCTTATTTAAAGTAAACAAAATTTTTTAAATTATTACATGATCTTTAAACAAAAAAAAACAAGATTCGAAATTTTTAATCAAGTGATGCATTATTTATGAAAGCCACTGTATATATTTTATTTTAAGTTTCAATTATTAAAATTTAATATCTTAATTTTAAATAAGTATTTATAACTGTTTAATATTATTAAAAAAAATTTTTTTTAATACTAATCAATATTTAAAAATTGTTTTTTATATGTTGTTTTTAAAATATATTATATAATATACAAATTAAAAAAATGGTGTTTATTTACTTTAAAATAATATGAATTTAGTTGAATAAACTAAATATGAGTTTTACTTTTTTTGGATTACAAGAAAAAAGATCAGATTGTTGTACTATAAAGTCAAGAATATGATATTATTAGTTTCTTTTTAAAGGTGGTTACACGCACATAAGAATCTCACATATCCATAAAAACGGTTTTGCTTCGTTTGTAAGAGTAAGGATTATGAAAACTTGGAAAACGTATCGAAAGACAATTCTGCAAGAGACAATATAACTTTCTAAAATTCAGGAATGAGATAACGCACATTATTATGATAGCAAAAAAATAAAATAATTTTAAGGTTGTCTTTTTTGGGCGCAACCTATTGAAACCATGTAACTGTAGAGTCCTTGCTTAGATATAGGCCGCAAAAACCCTCAGATCTTCTCCCTCCCTACGGACGTAACTTGATCTACACAAGTTACCATATTTGCAAGTTCTACGGTGGTATAAACTCGTTGATATAACACCGAAGTTGCCCCTTTAGAAAATAAGATTCTAAGAAGATGTTGTTGGGTTCATTGCAGAAAGATTTCAATCAAAAAACTTTAAATGTTCATTTTACGAAGCTCTATATTCGTCTGAACCATAGCCAAAGGCAACATTAGCATTATGCTCGTGTAACATTGGGTGTTATGCAAGAAAGCCTTTGTGGATTTGATTAGATCCTGGGTTTTACTCGATTGGAAAAGTTTGTTCGATTGGCCAAATAGAAATACAAGAGTGATCTGGTACGAGTCTGCTAGTAACGATAAATAGTATATGGGGAAGACACAGGGTGACCTTTCGGATTCATTATGTCATCTCATGTTTGGTCACGTGATAACTTAAATGAGTTGCGAAACTGTACCATCCGTGATTTACTAGTCCCAAATAAATAAAATGACTGACCAAATTTTCCACATATAATACACTGCTTTTTTGGTTATAATAGAATATGATGTACTTCTTTGTGTCATCTTGAATGGTTGAAGATTTAGTAACTGACATCACCTCAACAACTGTATGTAAATTAATATATAGTACAGTAGCGTACGTATAAAAGGTCGAATTTCAATAACAACTTTCCCTTTTGCTCTTCTTTCCATAAACAATCTTCCAGTCTCACGGTCTTCAAAGTAGGCAATTAATAATAATAGTAAGTTACCATTATTCCTTTTCCCTTTGTCGTCGCAACCTTTATAGTGCAAAAGAATCTTGGCCGACATGGAGACCGTGAACGAAAGAAATGAAGGAGGAGTCTCAAATAGAATTAGCTTACCAACATATTCTACCACAACAACCACACCAGTGAGTATTACAGTAGAACAACAGCAACAACAACAACAATGTCAGCAACTACCACTACCACCACCTCAGCAACAGCCACCACCAACTCTACAGCAGCAAATACGGCAAGACCAACAACCGCTTGGTTTTGACAGGAATGAAGGAACCACCTCTCAAAATCGACCCTATAATTCTTATCAATCTGAAAAGTCAGGATTCAGCGTACTTGACATTAAGGCTTTGGTGGAAAGTGCGCTTGAACAGGCTAATTTTGAACCGGAAGTAGTTTATGCTGCCGCACAATTGTTGCTGTTATCGAACCCTGATACGAATGGTGGCTACTTTGTTGATTCAAGTTCAGGTATCTTGGATGTTGCTTCAAATCGACCGAGTGCTATGTCTTTGTCAAATTTGCTCTTGCCGGATGACGCTGGTTCTTCATCAAAAGCTACGGTATTTATCAATATTGATTTTACATTTTCATCACATTACATCTCTTTCTTACCGCATTTTTTATTTTATTCCCTGAAAAGTGAGATAGATTATTTATTATTGACATTGTTGAACTTCTTAATAATCTTCTATATTCTTGTTTACCGCAAATGAATTTATAGTTAAAATGATGGTGGTAGGTTCATTAAAAAAAAAAGTGTTAATCTGTTATTTTTTATTTTATTATATATTTCAAAATTATCAACACTTATTTGCAATTAGCTGGAAGGAATCCTCTCTTCAAATTAGAACTTCTTTAATTAGCATTCGGTTATTGTTTGTAGCATTTATCTCCTTTTTTCTCTCCTATAATAACAATTTACCCTTTCCAGATAATTGATGTTGATTGCTTTTTAAGAAAAATGTATATATTTAGTGAATAATACTTTGGTTATACACCAGTTATCTTGTTAAGCGTATGGATTAATATTTCGTGAAAAATTATACTTGATATTATTATATTATTACTCTTATTATTATTATTACTATTATTATTTTGTTTGACCAAACACAATTTTCGATTTGTAAAGTTTGTAAACATAAATATTTTCTAATGCCCACTTTTCGTTCGTTGACTCCTTTGACACAAGGTTCACTGTAAACATCAACATTTTCATTAGATGTTTCATTTGGTCGTCATACAAACAAATAAGTTTAGAGAACCATTTTATCGAAACATCGCGTAGATCAGTATACAAAGTAGAGATTTACAATGTTGCCATTAAATAAGCAAAGATTCTCTGAACACAAATGCCCTCCGTCGAACACAAACATTCGAGTGCGTACAGTCTAGCTTAAATAAACCAAGCTTAGGCTAAACTTATTATTTGAAATTAACATATAAGCCAAGTTAATTTTTCTTAGTCATAAAGTTTTTAATTGTGCATAATATGCTTAAAGTTTTTGAACCAGACGTCAATTGCACTTTTAATCATGTACAGTATACATACTATATATACGTATATTATTAACAAATACAGTATCTATTATAAATAATGTTTTAAATAGTTAAAAATTTACAAAATTTATATTAAATTAGAAAATATAAAATAATATTATTTTTATTATTTTAAATTGTTAACTACAATAATTTGGTTTATTTTCTTGTTTTTTGTAATAACATTTATTAATTAAAAAAATTAATAATATCAAAAATATATTTTATATTATATACAATATATATATTGATTATCTATTTAATATAAACTTGAAAATAGACAATATAATTCATATGATCTATAAATTTTTATTTATATTTTGCTAAACTTTAATTAATTAATTATAGATTTTTAAAATATTTAAAAATACAATTATTTTTACTACAAATATGTATTAAATATAAGACTTTATTAATTAGATAATAATTTTATCATTATATTAAGAATTATATATTATATATTTATAAAAGTTAATTTTTATCAAAAAAAAACTCTTTCCCACAACTCTTCAATTAATAAAAAATTTCCTTTTTTGGTAATGACATGAACAGTAGACAGTAAACAGCAAGTGAGAACCTCTTCCTGGGAAAAAAATCTATCTTAGTTTTCTGCAGGATGCAAAGAATCAATTAACTCTCTATAAAGGGATGAATACTTTGGAAGTAGCAAAAATCTTTTCGATTAAATACTTTCTTTATTGAGTAAAACCTATATAAGCAATCTTCAAATAAAGTAAAACCTTTTTACCATATTAATACATATTATTACCTATCATATCACAAAAACACACACAAAACCAAATACAATCTTTTTCTCAAGAGATAGTATTTTATTTTTTCAGAGTTTTTGTTTTTTGCTGATAATAACTAGTACTAGGTTAATTGGTATAATCTTTTGGTTAGTTGTTAGTCCTTATTCATCTCTACATACAAAAAAAATTGAAATTAGCTTACTTTCACCAAAAGATTTACAACACATAAAATATCAATAACATTCTGTATTATCAAACCACATCAAAACAATACAACAATTTATCAAATTGGAAAAGCATATGATCAGTGCCCTGCATGAGTTCTAATAATTACAATATACAATAACTCACTATAACAAAACAACAAATATTTGAAATATATTCCAGTTATTTCACTATAACATTACAATACAGTTATATCATATAATAGTAATATATCATAAAAATCACTTGATCAAACTCATCAAGTTACATATGGCTTGCATGATACCATCATTTGACTAAAATATTTATTTGTATTCAAGAATCATATTTAACAAAAACTTCAATACTTTTCCGATACCTTTTTTTTTTTACTTTTTTTTTATTACAAAATCAGCAATCTTGCTTCAAATATTTTATTATTTTTTTTTTCTTAATAGATAGTTTCTTTCTTTTTTTGTTTGTTTAAAGTTTTTTGGAAATATATCTATTACAATAGGTAGTAGACCAATATGTAGGGATCAAAGTTTTAAATTAAAAATCAATTGATCCACGAATTGATTTTGATTTAGATCAGTTTAGTTTTTAATATTTTAAACCAATAAAAATCGGATCGGATCAGTTTTGGTTCGAATCAAAACTGATTTTGATTTTTTATATTTTATATTTAAATAAAAATAAAAATAGAAAAATTAAATTAAAATAAAATATATAAAGTAATAAAATAAAATAATCATAGTTTGACTTTGCTTCATTTTTTTACGATGTAGAATTATAAATAAAAACTTTTTGACAATTTTACTTTTGCTGTTTTTATTGTTCTTTTATATTTTAGCAAGTTTGTTTAATACTAATATTTTTTTTATACTAACAGTTATTGTTTAACTTCTTATCAATAACTTTTTTAACAATTTTTTTAAAATGAAACATAAAAATTTTTCTGACAGTTTTAATTTTCAATATATTAATGATGAAACTAGCAGCTTAATTAGTTATGAAAACAGCAATACTAGTAATATTATTATAAGTAATTTATCAGAAACAGTATCATCTTCTACAATAACAAACTGAAGCAAAGTATGGAGCCATTTTACAAAAGATTTGGATTTTAAAAATAATAAAAAAGCAACCTGTAATTATTGCAATACTATATATATTTGTAGTGAAGGTAGTACTACTAATTATATAAACATCTTACAAGATTTCATATAGCAAAATTAGATTGGAACATTAACAGACCAAGTATCGAAAATTATTTTAATAAAGCAAAGGTAATAAATTTTATTTTTATTAAATACCAAGTTTATTATTTAATTTATTTAATATTTTAATATTTAGTGAATATACAATCATAAAAAAATGGAAAAAAATTTAATTCAATGGATTGTTGTTAAACAACATTCTTTTACAATTATATAAGAACTAACTTTAAAAATTTTATAGTGACTTTATTGGAAAATGTAAAATTACCTTCTCCAACTTCTATCAAAACAAACATAATGAAATTCTATCTAGCCGATCAAAAAAAAATACAGAAATTATTACAAAAACAAAAAATCTAATCTCATTTACCCTTGATATTTGAACTTTAGTATTAATGAAAGCTTTTTTGGCTATTTCTGCATATTTTATCAATAAAAATTGAAAAATGCAATCAATAACAATTGATTTTGTATGAATCTGGAATGTACATTCTAGTAAAAATATAAAAAAAAAACATTCTTAACATGCTTGAAACATTTTATAATTCAAATAAATGTAAGATTTGTTTTATTTATTTATTTTTTTTTAATCCCGCAATTAGATTGGTGTTGTTTATTTATTTAATCATAAAAAACTATTACAAGTTGAAAATCCATGTAAAGTATAAATTTCACTGACCCAACTCACCAGTTTTTAGCCGAAGTCTCTAGATGCGATTTATAGGGATGATAATATTGTTCCCCTAGTGGATAGAATTAAGATTCCAGATTTCCAGCAGGATTAAAACCTGCAGATCACCTCTGCAGTCACGACCATGAACCCAAATTGTGTCACCCCTCTTGTAGTAACTACGCAAAGGGAAAAAGGAATAAAAAAGGAATTTTTTAAACAAAAAAAAAGAAAAAAAAAAAGCTATTGTCTATTCTAACTATCATTGAAGAGGTTATCTCTGTAAACTTCAAAAATCAAAGCCTCTCATAATACTTCACTTCTCATCACCTGTGGCCAGTCAAACTGTTTAATTTCCATTGGAATAGTCGATGTCCAAGAACGTTTAAGGACATTTCCAGGATAATATTTCTTGAGACTTTACGCTTGAAGACTTCTAACCAGAAAGAATGTTGGTTTTCTATTGTTGATTTCTCTCCCAAGCCATGTCTTCTGGAATTATTGCTTCATTCAACC